TGATGGATTCAAATCACCAACGTTTTAGTTAACTGTTGAGTTCTTAACCAATATCCCACCACGGATCCTAAATTTTTACAATTCAGTACCAAATATCAATCTTTTTGTAACTGTGTTGATTCCACATCAAGTGAACAGAGTAGAATTGCATTCCTTAAAGCTTACAAAACTGAACTTTCTGAAGCAAATCTCTAGAATTTTATTTCAAAGCATCTCTGTTGGTTTAAACTGTCAACCTTTGGGCTAGTAGCTGAGAGCTTAACTATTTCTACCACACTTGGTAATGTAGCAAATGTAATTGTTACCAAAAACAAAACAAACAAATAAACCTTTAAATCACCAGCCTTTTCATATCTTCACTTTCTATCTATATTTAATTCCTTTCTATGTAATGAATCAAATACATATGAATGTCCAAGTGTTAGTTGTTATAAGATACCATACTCTATGACACAGTAGTCACTAGCTCTAGAGGTTATTGGATCCTTAAAGTGTAGCTAGGATAATCAAAGAACAGACTTTTTACTTTATTTAACTTTAATTTAAGGCCCAATGCCACGTAAAATATTTTTCTATTAAGTGCACTTTATTGTTTTTGTAGGAATATTTTTATGTAACTATTGTGCCACATAAAATAGTGTTATACTATTCTACTGGACTTAAAAAGTTTATGGCAAAATGAAATGGAAACGTAATGAAATTTTTCCCATGAACTTTTGAAGATCCTTCACATTTTTCATTTTTTATTATTATATTATATTATTATTAATAATATATATATTGTTATTGTTAAATACTATTAAGTTGATTCCAACTAATAGCAAGCCTGTACAGGGTTTTCAAGGCTGTAAATCTTTGTGGAAACAGAAAGCCTCATCTTTCTCCCATGGAGTGGCTGGTAGATTTGAACTGCTAACCTTTCGTTTAGCAAGCCGCTCATAATTCACTGTGCTACCAGAGCTCCTTGTGCTACACACAAAAATATATTATAAATATATATGTGTGTGTGTGTGTGTGTGTGTAGCAATATATTATTATTTTGTTAACAATTATAATAATATTGTTATTGTTAAGTATTGTCAAGTTGATTCCAACTCATAACAAGCCTGTATAGGGTTTCTGAGGTTGTAAATCTTTGTGGAAGCAGAAAGCCTCACCTTTCTTCTATGGAGCGAGCTGGTAGGTTCAAACTGCCAAACTCGTGTGACTAGTAGTTCAGTGCTTCTCCTACAGAACCACAGGTGAATCCAGGTCTTCAGCACAGAAGGCAAAGAGTCTACCACTGAACCACAGTTGCCCATAACATAGTTATTGTTGTGGGTCTCCACTGGGGTGACTTTGACTCAGGGCAACCCCATGTGACAGAGCTGGGGTGACTTTGACTCATAGCAACCCCATGTGACAGAGCTGGGGTGCCTTTGACTCATAGCAACCCCATGTGACAGAGCTGGGGTTTCTAGACTGGCGTTTTTATGGAAGCAGATTGCCAGAGTGGCTGGGTGGACTTGAACCTTTGTGTCGGCAGCCTAGTGCTTAACTGTTGCACCACCAGAATTCCTTATAACATGGTTGCCATGGATTAAATAGCAGAAGCACCATCTACATACTGGAAACGCTTGTTTAGATTCAGACAGCCCCATGATGTAACTCTGAGTTCTGCTGCTTACTCACTGTGTGAGTTCGGACCAGTTACAAAGCCTCCCTGTTCTTGGGTTCCCTGAAATGTAAAGGTAGGATAAATCATCTTACCATGTGGGATTTGTGGGAAATAGACTAGGTGGTGAGATCGGCACACTTCCTGACCTTAAAGAAGTGACAAAAGTCACATGATTACAATTATAGCACCAAATATGATGTAAAACTTTATAAGAGGGAGCAGGAATAACTTCACAAATCAAGTAGCCTTTCAGCCATGTCTTCAATGCTAACAACAAAATTATAGCAGCTGTCTTGTACATTTCTGTACATTGTTAGCTCAAGCCAAACTTGCCCCGGTCCTGAGAGGCATAGATAGCACTTTCCTGCCCATAAATGGAGAACCGGCAGCTCAGAGAGGTTAAGTAACTTTCCCAAAGCATCCAGCAACAAAAACTCTCTCTGAGAAACGAAAGACAACCATGGCACCTTTTCCAGCTGATAAAACTGAAGCCAATACGATGAATGGTCCAGCAGTGATAGGTCCTACCACAGGAGGTGAGAGGATGGTACTGAGGTTTAACCACATGGAGCCCACCGCTGTCTATTAAGTTGTTTGTCACCCAGAGATGTTTCAATTTTGAACTGAGAGGAATTAAGAAGAAAAGAGGTAGAGGAGATGAAGGAAGCCATGCTTACCAAAACCAAAGCACACTGCCATCCAGTTGATTGTGGCTCTTAGTGACCCTATAGGACAGTGTAGAATTGCCCCCATAGAGTTTCTGAGACTGTCTGTCTTTACGGGAGCAGATAGCCACACCTTTCTTCTGCACAGCAGCTGGTGGGTAGGGACCACTGACCCCACTACACCACCAGGGCTCCTGCCAAAGCCATGCCTATATGACACAGGTTTTGTTTTTATGGTTAAAAAAAAGGAACACCAATGGTGATGTTAAAACAATCCCTAAAAATCAACGGTGACACAGTGATTTGGTCAAGGAGAGCGAGAATGGTTGGGCCACTTTAAGAATGCATTCAGTGTCACTGAGCTGTCCATGTAGAAATCAGTGAGTTGGCATACATTTGTTCACCACCATAAAAAAGGATTCTCTAGGAGAATAATCCTAAGACTCTCCCTAGTAGAAAGAAAGGAAAAGCCCATTCTCCTTACTGAGTTCTGGAGCCTCTCTTGAAGGTTGTGTTTAGGTTTTCCAACAGAAGCAGAAAGAATGGGGTTAATACGTGCTCCAAAAGGAGAAGCCTGGCTATTTAGTCATCTGATTACCTACTTGTTATCACTGGTTTGGCCTTTACCCTACAGCAGATCGATAGATCCAAGAAGGTAGGAGTTGTATGCATCTTTGTTCCGAACCTGGGGCCAATCTATTGTTGTTGTTGTTAAGTGCCGTCGAGTTGGTTCCAACCCATAGCGATCCTGAACAGGGTTTCCGAGGCTGTAAATCTTTATGGGAGCAGAAAGCCTCATCTTTCTCCCTCAGAACAGCTGGTAGCTTCGAACTGCTGACCTTGCTGTTCACAGCCCGATTCGTAACCATTATGGTACCAGAGCTCCTATATAGTAAGTGTTTCATAAACATGTTGAATGAACAAATGAATGCAGAAACGGATGGGCTCAGCATTCTCCCTAGACTGCCTTATACGTCACGGCATGAGTAGAGGGGCATGTTGGCTTAATCAAATGACTCACCTGCCCTCCTTACCTTATGAAGGAAGCAATCCACAAAGCTGGACCATTTTATGAGTGGCAAGAATTTCCCAAGTCATCTTAGGAAGCATTAAGTGCCTTTCCTGCCCTTCACCTCTTCTGGTGTCCCCCATGGCTGACTTCTCTTTAAGATAGGTGACACATGTGTGCAGAGGAAGAGCAGTGAGTGTTTCATATCAGCATAGACAAACCCAGGCTTTGCACTTAGTTCTTCAGCTGTGGCCTTTTCCTTGAGGTGAGTATTACAAATAAAGTGCTGACCTGCCGGGTGCCTGGGAATCAGAGGAGAAGAAGGAGCAAGCGCAAAGCTGGGGGCAGATCTCTCCCAGCGCGTGTGTGAATAGTGCCAATAAGCTGTCAAATGAAATTAAGGTTCAAAACATACAGCCTTCAATTTGATTCCACTAAGACGCCAACTGCTGCTCAGAGGGAATGCAATCGATTCTGTTTTGACAGATCCTGATGTACACGAAGCAGTAAAAGTCTCCACTCGGAGCCAGATTAAAACGAGTTTACCTGAATTTGCAACTTCACTATAATCCTCTCTAGGATTAAATGGATGCTTCTAAATTTCTTCACCTGCACTGTCTCACCCCCAGCCCTTGGTTTCTTTTCACTCTTCAATTCCATCTTTCTCTCCCTGTTTCCTTCTTCTTAGCACCTTTTAAACTCTTCACCTTCTCATTTTGCTTTTTTACGATGCTTAAAGCAAAATATTATGTGCTGCCGAGTGGATTCTGACTCACAGGGACCCTGTATGACGTCGTAGAACTGCCCCATAGGGTTTCCAAAGCTGCTAGCTTTGTAAAAATACATCACTGGGTCTCTTCTTCCTGGGAGCTTGCTGGGTGGGTTCCAACGATCAACCTTTAGGTCAGCAACTGAATGCTTAACCACTGTGCCACCAGAGCTTCTAAAGGAAACCGTGGAGTCCCCACTACATGCATGCTTCTCAGAAACTTTGTAGAGGGCCGTTAGGACGTGGAACTGACTCAAGGGTGCTTACCAACAACAACTAAATGCCAGAGTCTGTACCAAATGCTTTTCATATATTGCTATATTCAGTGCCCATAACTGACTTCTGCAGCTGGTGGGATTGTACCTATTTTGTAGTTTGATGGTGAAGAGCTTTCCAGAGGTTGTGCAGCTAATAAGTGTTGGTGGTAGTTGCGTGCTGTGGAGTTGGTTCTGACTCATGGCAACCCCGCCTAGGGTTTCCAAGGCTGTCAATCTATATGGGAGCAGAAAGCCTCATCTTTCTCCCATGGAACCACTTGTTGTTTTGAACGACACCATGTAGAATTGCCGATTCAAACAATCCAGATTCAAACAGCTTCTGCAGTTTCCACGGCAGCAGCGGTTCTCAACTCCAGCTTGGCTTTAGAATTTTGGAGGGAGTCCTAATAGGGCCAGAGCTTGGACCCCATCCCCAGAGGTATATACTCCATTAGTCTGAAGAAGAACCTGGTATTGGGGGCTGCCCAATGTTCTACCTTCCTGATTTTCTGAGTCCCCAAACAGATATCCTTCAGAAAGCTGGGATACTGCTTCTCCCATGCCTCTTTGGTGAAGGGCTTCTGTCTTTGTGGATGTCAGTGGTACAAGAAAGCACAGATGTCTCGCCGTCTTTGTGTTGCAGGTGGGCAAGTGGGAGAACCAGTCTCTGAACCTGAGGCATGCTGTGTGGCCGAGGTACAGGTCTTTCTCAGACTGCGAGCCAGATGACAACCACCTGAGCATTGTCACCCTGGAGGAGGCGCCCTTTGTCATCGTGGAAGACATTGACCCACTGACCGAGACGTGTGTACGGAACACGGTGCCATGCCGGAAGTTCGTCAAAATTAAGTGAGTGTCCAGGAATGTTGTGCATGGAGTGTGCCCCATCCTTTGAAACTGCTTGTATTATTGATGTTAATAACTGTAATACAGTAAGTAGTGTGAAGTTTAAGATATGGTAGTACAAGAATTTCAGTGCTCAGTGGCTAGCTAGAAGGAAGACTGGAGGGTCACACCCACCCAGAAGTAACCTGTAAGAAAAGGCCTGGCAATCCACTTCTGAAAGCTCACACCTTGAAGACTCTAAAAAGCACAGTTCTACTCCTTGCATATGGGGTCACCGTGGCCTGGGTTCAACTTGACAGTCCCTAATGATAATAATATGTTTTAGAATAAACCCAAACAAGTTGTCATTGAGTTGATTGTGACTCATGACAACCTATGTGTATCAGAATAGAACTGAACTCCAGAGAAGTTTCAAGGTCCGAATTTTTTTTGGGAAACAGATCACCCGGCCATTTTTTTTTCCCCAAAGTGCCTCTGTCCAGACTCATACAACCAGCCTTCTGATTCTTAGCCAGCGGTTCACCATTTGCGCCACCCAGGAATCCTACTATCCGTAATTGGCATAATATAATTATAGATGAAAGACAAATAAATTCCCAAAACTGCACCAAGTGGTTTACATTGATTGAATTCCAACAATACTACAAGGTAGGTGGTTTTTGCCCTTGTAGAATATGCTAGAACTGAGTCATGGGGAAACTAGGAGACAAATTCCAAGCCATTCTGCTTGTCAATGGGAGAGGGACATAAGCCATTCTGATACCAAAGGGAATAGTCTTAATTTAGCATCAGGTCTTTTTAAAATATTGATTTCCTGTTTGGTGTTCAGGCTGCCCCTTGACCCTCTCTGCCACCTTCCTCTGCCTTACTCTTCACCAAAATTTCAGAACCATCCCTCCATTTGGGAATTTCCCCACATCTTTCATTTGACTTTCTGATGTCGTAGAACTGTCCCATAGGGCTTCCAAAGCTGCCAGCTTTGTGAAAATACATTTCTGATTTGATTAAGGTGTGAAAATAACATTTCTGATGTGATTAAGGTGGAATTGATTTCCATGATGTTGCACTACTAACCAAAAGGTTGATGGTTCAAGTCCACTCTGAGGCTCCTTAAAAGGAAGGTCTGCTGATCTACTTTCCAAAAAGCAGCCACTGAAAACCCCATAGAGCACAGGTACAAATGGGATATTCACAAAAAGAAAAGCTTGCTGATGTGGATTTGTAGATTAAGCACTGGACTGCTAATCTCAAGGTCAGTGGTTCAGATATACCAGCCGCTCTTCAGAAACCCTGTACAGGGTCGCTGTGAGTCAGAACTGACTCTCAGCACTTAACAAACAGCCACCACCATTGGAAGGAAATATAACTTTTTTTTATGACAAAAAAGGTATTTTCTGATCACTTCCTTTCATCTGGACAATTCTTACTTCTTTTAGTCTCAGTCACTGAATCTGGACTTTGGTTGAATTCACCTACCCTGTCACATACCCTGGGATGTTCACTGTCTGCCCTTTCTACCCATTGTCATGTTTTACAGTTTGCCAGTGTTTTCCCCTAAGTTAGGAACTGCCTAAATACCAGGATTGTGGTGCATTAACCTTTGTATTCTTGGCGACACACACAAGGCACAACAGCACTACATACACATATTTGCTGAACAACTCCATGAGGGAACGGATGCTGTTACTTCACATTTCAAATTCCAGCCCAAGATTTTTATTATACAAAAACTTGACTGCTAACCACAAGGTCAGCAGTTCAAACCTACCAGTCCCTCCTCGAGAACCTTCGGCAGGGTCACATGAGTCAGTATTGAGTTGATGACAATAAGTGCTTGAAAGAACCACAGCTTTTTTCTAAGTATGATTTTAAAATATATTCTGAAGGCACATTTTAGTTTGGAGATTTTTCTTGACCAGGTCATAAAAATCAACATCTTTGAAATTAGAATTATGAATAGATCATTTCTTAGAAATATCAGTTTTTCTTACTAAGTGCTATTGAGTCAGTTCCAGTTCATAGTGACCATGTATAGAATTTCTGAAGAGCAACTTGTGGATTTGAACCTCCAACCTTATGGTTAACAGCCTGGTGCCTATCCTACAGTGCCACACCAGGACTCAGGTGTAGTACTGGTTATGGGATGAGTCAGCGCACTGGGCAGACAAGGGTTTTGTAGTCACAAAGTAAACACAGCTACAAAGCAGATAATCAGGGGTGGAAAAAGGGAACTTCATGCTATGATAAGTCTGTAAGGGAACTAAGCCCAATGAGGTAATAGAGAGTCACCTGGGTGTGTGGAACTACTACTTTTGCTCACACAGGAGAAATACAAAAGATGAGAAAGAATCAGAAAAGTGAGAATTTGGGGTAGAACCTGCCAGTAGGGGGAACAGTGGGTGCTCAGGCCCTTGTAAGCCTAGTAAGGTGCTGAATGGGTGGGAGGAGAATGGAATAAGATAATCTGGGGACACCTCAAAGGAGATCCTCTTTGAGCAGAGTTTAGTAAGATGAAGAAGGCAAGGTGACCTGCATAAGGCATAAAGATTAGAACCTCGGTTGTTCTTGTGATTGCCAGTAGATGCTGTTGAACCAGTTCCTACTCCTAGTGACCCGTGCGTGTATGACAGAGCGAAATGTCACCTAGCCCTGTCCCATCTTCAGAATCGTTTCCATGTTTGAACCATGAGCTCAGTAGGAACGGTCCTGACTAGACCACTTGCCCATCGAGTCAGCTCCGACTTGTGTGTCAGGGCAGAACTGTGCTCCATACAGTTTTCAGTGGTTGATGTGGGGGAAGCAGATTGCCAGGACTTTCTCCCAAGGCACCTCTGGATGGACTGAAACCTCTAACCTTTCAATGAACAACCGAGCACATTACCCTTTATACTTCCGTGTCACTGCTGTGTACCGTCGAATCGACTGTGACTCACAGCAACCCTGTAGGACAGAGGAGAAGTGCCCCTATAGGGTTTTCCCTAGGCTGTCATCATCTTTACGGGGACACATGGGCAGGTCTTTTCTTCCACAGAGCTGCTGGTGGGTTAAGCTGAACGCTTAATCACTGTGCCACCAGAGCCAACTCAGTAGGACCTCGGGCGTTTCACAATCAGTAATAGTTTACATTGTTTAAATCAGACTCCTAGTCATGGAAAACAATGAGAATCTCACCAATGTTGAACGATGTCGGTGTGCAAAAGAAAACACTAAACTAAAAGCGCTTTCTTTGAAAGAGTGCCCCTGACTATTCAAGAATAGAAATAACTGATGAGCTACAATTGATTCACACTTTCGGTTCCAGTGGGGAGGTGGAGGCTGCAGCTTCTTTTTTCCCCATTTGAGGATGTGGGACATTTATGGGTCTTTGACATGGTCCTCCGAGTCTTTGACGTCCTTGCTAGCAATAGAAAATGACTAGGCTCCCCAAGTCCCAGAATGAATACAGGTTGGAGCCATCGTATGTCCCAAAAGTTACATCTCTGAGGCAGGGTGATTGGTCCCAAGAGGAATTTCTGTGGGCTAGCATGATTGTATTTGGGAGGCATCATTCTCCCAGGGTTTCCACTGCTAGCAGACTGTGGAACTCGTCTTCTGAGAACACAGGTGATTCCAAATGAGCTACAAATCCAACTTCCCTTCTCGTCTGTAAGTTAGGATAAAGGACAGGATAGATGATCTAGGCTGAGATGTAGGGAGAGATGGTCAGACTCTCCATTAAACCCAAAGCTGTCAAATGCCAGTGGAATGAGGGCACATTGGTTTTGAAGTGCTTCTGTGATAGGGGACTGTATGTAGTTTCACTTAGTCTTTCCAACTGCCCCCTGAGAAACTGCCAGCTCTCAGTTTACAAATACAGCTCTGTGAGCAAGGAAGTTTGTCTGAGCTCCCCTGCTTTTTAAGAAGAGACACGGGATTTGAACCCACCTCTGTTTGACTCTCACAATGCTGCTCTTGTCCACTGACCCCACTGAGAAGTCCTAGAGCCAGTGAACTGACTTTGTTTTTTGGAGTCTCCCTTTCTTTCCAGTGAGGGTGGGGAGCTAAGAGATGGTGCATGCAGGGTTCGTCCCGGTGTCTGTGTAATCAAAGGAGCCCTGTGTAGCTGAAAGGTCAGCAGTTTGAACCCACCACCAGCTGCCCTGTGGGAGAAAGATGCAGCAGTCTGATCCCATAAAAATGTACAGCCTTGGAAACCGTAAAGGCCAGTTCTGCTCTGCCTTGCATACTTGCTGTGAGTCATGCTAGGAGCTAAGAGAAGTTCCCAATTACAAGCTGGTCATATTTCCATCATCCCACGCAACGTCAACTCTTTCCCAAGTTATTTTCATCTCTGTCCCCAAGGGCCCATGTCCTGCCCCAAGTAGGACCTCAGTGGATGTCAGATAACAATACCTCAGTGGCCATCTGCATCTGAAATACTAGCTTCCAGGATAAGGGGGAACAATTAGCCCCTAAGCTGGCTGAAGTTCCCAGTGATCCCCAAAGATTTCCCAGTATGCTTCCAGCTGAATCTTAAATTTGGTGAAGGAAGAGAGTGTCGTAGAAGAAGGGAGAGACACAGGGACAAGGGGAAGTAACATTGTTGTCTTCACCACTCTCAGCCCATGTAAGCTGCCCCAGACCTCTGCTTGTCCATCTTGAGGATGCGACCTGGACCACCACAGAGATTGCTCTCTCTGGCCTGGAGGCTGGATATCTGCTCTGAGCCCCACACCTCCAGATTGGGGGGTATGGGAAGCCAACTCTGTGCATGTTTACTTTGGTGATTGGTGGCTCATATCTGTGATGTAAAGATTGTAGTGTCATCCCCCCCACTCCCACACCCCCTCCCCTGCTCCACCATTGTCCAGGCTGTCTGAGATGTGATAGAAATCATCAGGATTATACAGATGTATACTCGTGTCTGTACAATGGGGATTTAATACTGCTTTCTTCAAGAGCTGTCATGGAGATCTAGCCAACAATTAGCAGAAAGCATTTAGCAGAGTACAGAGCAAATAATGTTGGTATTGCTGTTCGGTGCGGTCGAGGCCTTTCAGACTCATAGCGACCCTGTGTACAACAGAATGAAATACTGCCTAGCAAATAATAGTCGCTCAGTAAATGTTAACTGTCGTCAAGGTTACTGTTATAAAGAACACGTTCTACTTTTCCTCCCATAAACTCACGGCATGTCTGCAGAAAAGTCTCTTCCTGTTTTTAAATTTTCATTTGTGCCTCACCGTTCTATCCGCAAAATAGCAGCCTAGGATAGCTAACGATGGTGCACTCGCCTGCCAGCGCTAACCTTCTGTGGTCCTGGGGTTTTGTCTACAGCAATTCAACCAATGAGGGGATGAATGTTAAAAAATGCTGCAAGGGATTTTGTATCGACATCCTGAAGAAACTCTCCAGGACAGTGAAGTTCACCTATGACCTCTACCTGGTGACCAATGGGAAGCACGGCAAAAAAGTTAACAATGTGTGGAATGGAATGATTGGAGAAGTAAGTGTTGGTTCCTTCCCGCGGGCTCTCATTCTGAGGTCCCCAGGGTGGTGGGCAGGATGAGTACCAATGCTGTTCTTTTTTCCATCTGTGCATCCAGGTGGTCTATCACCGGGCAGTCATGGCGGTTGGTTCACTCACCATCAATGAGGAACGGTCTGAAGTGGTGGACTTCTCTGTACCTTTCGTGGAGACGGGCATCAGCGTCATGGTTTCAAGAAGCAATGGCACCGTCTCACCTTCTGCTTTTCTAGGTATGCGAAGGACGCGGTTATGCTTCACCTCCTACAAGGAATGATACACGCATGTTATAGCATGTTCAGCTGATACTCCCAAGTTAAAGATCTGTGGCAAACAATGAAAGAACTGAGGGAAGGGGAAGGGGGGAAGTGAACTGGGATCATGTAAGTGCAACATGAGCTGGAATATGCTGATGTTTTTGGCTGTATAAGGTGCCAGCTGGTCCAGCACCTTTGGGAGAACAACTCAGAATAATAGTCACATGTCGTGGCTCTTGTTGTGTGTCTTTGAATCACTTCCAACTCATTAACATCTCCTAGGCTGGAGTCTTTATGGGAGCAGAGTATCCTGTCTTTTCTCACACTCAGAGCCCACCAACCTTTTGTCTAACAGCTAGTGGAGTGCTTAACAGCTGCACCACAAGAATGCTCTGCATTCACATGCTGGCCTTCATTGCATTGAATGTAAATTAGTATGTATATTGCTTGTTGTTAAGTGCCTTTGTGTTGGTTCCTACTCGTAGCAACCTTGTACAGGGTTTCCCAGGCTCTAAATCTTTGCAGGAGCAGAAAGCCTCATCTTTCTCCTGTGGAGCAGCTAGTGAGTTCAAACTGTTGACCTTGTGCTTTGCAGTCCAGTTCTTATCCTACAGAGCCACTGCGCTTAGAACCTTGAAAACATGTGCATACGAAAACTCTTTGTCCAGTTAATGGAAATCAGTTCATACACTTTCTCAGCATCCACAGACCTGACTTCCACCTCATGCACAAATGACTGTCACTTGTTTACTCGATACAAGGGGGAAACTAATGGTACTGTGCAGTGATATATACCAGAATATACTGATCAACAAAATAGAAGTTGTTTGAAGAGTATATATATACAATGCTTTAAAGCTAATTGACTCATGTTTTAACTGTGTTTATATGTTTTCCTTTAAACCAAGTGCTTTTCAATGGGAGGGAATTCTTCTCTCTACTTCTAACCATTTCATAAATTTATGATTTTACTTAAGAAATTTTTAAAAAGTAAAATAGATGTCTATATTCTATCACCCAGTTTTCTGTTGCATTTTGACTATATATTGCTTAAGGTAGCCTGGACGGAATCATTGAAACGGCAGAGGACATAGTCCAGCATTATTTGTTTTTTTCTTTAATGGAACGTGTTTGGCTCTCATAAATAGGTTTTGATAGTGGCTCTCTGGATATTCAAGGATCCCTGGTGGTGCAATGGTTAAGCAGTGAGCTGGTAACCGAACGGTTGGCAGTTTGAAGCTATGGGAGAAAGACCTCGTGATCAACAGCTGTGAAGATTACAACCAAGGAAATCATAGGGGGGAGTTCTCATCTCCCACATGGGGTCTCTATGAGTGAGAACTGACTCGATGGCACCCCAAAACAACAGCAACATGTGAAGATCCTGCAATTCAGATTTTTAATGCCCCCTTTTTGAGCCCATGTAAGTGAGTTGGTTCCAAATTTTGGAAGGTTAAGACAAATTCTGATTCCTACAAGTTAACGGCATGAGATAGGAAACATGTTTAGATGAAGTTTAAGTAAAGTTCTTACATTTTTCCAACACAGAAAAACTTGATGTAGTTAAGATCCTTTCTGACCAGAGCTGATTTCTGACACAAACTCCTTCACTGTGTTTATCTGTATGGAACGACTGAAGTCACTATAAGTTAGCATTTCATGCTTCGTTTCCGAGTGCCATGCAGACTAACAGGATTTTGGATTGTGCTTTACTCACACAGACATATGGATTTACTATTTTCATTTTTGATAATCCATTTAAGCCGTTGAAATCCTTGCCACACTCATTGGTTTTGAATTTTCACACGTTGCTTCCAGTTTTACCACTTTTGTTGGGACAGGGGGGACCTTGATGAATACATACTTCATTTTCACCCTTTTGAGCCCTCGTCTGACATGGAGAAGCAGACCCATCTTCGTAAGAGAACCTTGCTATATCAGGAAAACTACAACCTACTAATTGTAGTTTTGCAACAGATTAAGAATCTTGATCATTGCTGGATGGATGGTCACTTCTAGGGAGTTTTCAAAGTTCCCCAGGAAGGGGAGAGAGTTGCAAATGGTTTGCACTCAATTACTCACCTAAAATTTGCTGGTTCAAACTCACCCAGGAGCTCCATGGGACAAAGTCCTGAGGTCCCTAAAGTTTACAGCCAAGAAATCCCTTTGGGGCAGTTCTGATCAGTAACACATGAATTAGAGTCTACTTGAGGACTTCAAGTTTGGTATTTTTTTTTTACATTTTTTGGTTTAGTAGTGCCCCTTCCCCTCCTCATTTTCTATCAGGCCATTTAATAGGAAGCCTCAACCATGGAGACTAAGAAGGTGTGAGAGGAACTGAGTTCATGGAACAAATGAAGATGAGAGGGCCCCTCTTCCTTTTTTTAAAACAAGTTGTCCATATACCACCTTAGTGAGCTAGAGAGAACTTTTTTTCCAGTTAATTCTGAGAGGGGAAAAAAATTCTTTTTGACTTTGTCTCATAAAAATGGGTCACTGGTATTGAATCTGGCCTCAACCCAATTTCTCCACATTTTTATTTTACCTGCATCAGTAGAATATTTCCATAAAAAGTCAAGTATTTTTGCTAAATTTAGCCAAACTTCTTTTGCCCCTTGCTCTTCCTGCTCTATCATTATGTTTTTCAACAGGAAGTTGAATTTATTCCCAACTTAGCCAAGGAGAAATCCAATTACAAATAGGGTTCATTTCAACATTCTACCATAAATAACACCACCAAGACAAAGATGGTGATATTAGTATTCCATGCTATTTATTCTTCTGTATCTTTAAAAAGAAAAGAAAAGAAATTGTAGCTAAAGGAAGGTATTTTGAAAGCTGCTTTTACCCAGTAGGCTTAATATTTTTCCTAGTCATTAAATTACACCCCAATTCAGTTTGCTGTGTACCCCCTTATTTACAGTCATCAACTGCAGGTTTTGAAAGTCATAATGAACCAGGCAAAGCTACATTTTTCCATTCACTGACTCAGTCATCTGGAAGAGCCCAAACATTCAAAATCTGATTGCCTTGCTCGTCAGTATTTCCGATCCTCTCTCCTCCACAAAGCCCATTAACTCACGTAGGAAATATTCACAGGTACTACCTCTGAGCTTTTGTTTAAAAATGTAACCAGTGACACTTCAAGGACAGAAATGACATCTCTTGCAATGTTTCCATTCAGTGCATTCTAAAGAGTTTCCAGGCAGGTTGCATATTTTGTTTTGTTTTGATCCAGAGATGCTGACCTGGAGTCTCTTTGAATGAAGTCCCTTCTCGTATCAGTGTTGTATCTGCTTGAAGCTGTCAGAGGTGTTAATCCAGAGGTAGTTGTTTAAATCTATTTCTGGGTCATTCAGTAGACAAGGTAGATCTGTCATTGGTTTAATGCTTTTCTCTCTGTTGCGCGCTTGTGTGTGTGTGTGTGTGTGTGTGTGTGTGTGTGTGTGTGTGTCTATCGCAGAAAAGCCATCATTCATGGCATTTGTAGGACCTGAACTCAATAAAGCCAGAATACTGCAACTGAGGACTTTTATCTTCTTGCTGTGGTCACAAGGCAAGTGACAGTTGTTGTCACTTCCCAGCAAGTAACATCTAGGATCAGTTGTTCATCATCTCTTGACCTGTGTAGCCCACTTCAGAGTTACATATACTGACATGTAAGAAGTAGAATACAGTAAGAATTACCCTGATACATTTTTATTTAATTATCAACCTACTGTGAAAGAAAGTTTTCGAGCGTTAAACCAGGATCCCTTTTTCAGCACGCTGGACAGCGCACGGTCTACTAAACAACTGTCTTTCATTTAATTTGTAGTGTGTTCACAATGTGCAAAATAGCAGGTCAACATAAAGAGGAAGGCTCTTTTTCCTCTGTCAGTCCACTATGGATTGACTCAGTGGCAGCATCAAGAGGCTCAAACGTAATAATTGTGAGAATGGCACAGGATCGGGCAGTGTTTCATTGTGTTGCACATGGCAGGGTTGCTATGAGTTAAACCAACTTGATGACACCTAACAACAACAAAAACAATACAGTGTGCTAAGGAGCCTAGTGGCACAATTGTTAAGCACTAGGCCGCCAACTGAAAGATTGGAAGTTCGAACCCTCTAGCTTCTCTGACAAAAAGACCTGGTTTCTGCTCCCTTCAAGATTATAGTCTTGGAAACCATGGCTGGGGCAGTTCTACTTTATTCCATAGGATCGCTATTGAGTTGGAATCACTAGGTTATAAACAATAACAAGTAGGCACACTGACAACATGCATGTCTATGCTTGTTAATCCATCTCAATGATCCTCCCCAGGAAAGACCCATCAACTTAGAGAATTATTTTAATGACTCTATTCCTAAAGATTGAGCCATTTTTTAATCTCCTAATTATTCATTTTGGTGCTGTAGGATAAGCACTGGACTGCTAACCGCAAGGTCAGCAATTCAAACCTACCAGCCACTCCTCCGAAAACCTACACGGGGTCACTATGAGTCAGAATTGACTCAATGGCATTTAATAACAATTAGTCATTTATCGTTCCTCTTTTAGATACACCTCATTACCAAAATGCTATGTTTGAGGGACATAATATTGTTTATTACTCAAATAAATTTGACAAAGATAAATTTCAGTTACAGTCCCATTAAGTTTTTGACACTCATCCTGTGTTATTTAAATCACATAAGTGTTGTTTTTTCCTGTAATTCAAGTCAATTGTGTTGTTACCTGTCACTTTATAATATACTCTGCATTGCAGAGCATTCCTTCCATTTCTCAAATTACCCAACAGAGAGGAAGCCCCCGGCTTCCAAGATATCCGAGATTCAAGTTACAATGAGCCACACTTGTGATCATCTGTTAATTTAGTTTGGGTACATATTATCATTACTAATATGTGCCACATATCATACTGCAGCATGTAATAGGCTGCTATTATCATTCATCCATAGTATGAGCACTGGACTTCGAACCACAGGGTCACCGGTTCGAGCCCACCAGCCACTCCACAGGAGAGAGATGAGGCTTCCTGCTCCCCGCAAAGATTTAATACCTCAGAAACCCTGTGCTGGGTTACTATGAGGCGAAACTGACTGCAAGGCACTTAACGACAACTTAACAGTAGCATCATTCGCAGATGTTCAGAGGCCAGATTGGTAAAGATGCTGCTAATGAACACCAATAATAATGAAAACTGAAAACAAGAGATTATGGCAGAACTGACTTACGACATAACATCAGAACAGAACCCCGTTGTAAGTCAAGAGCTACCTGTAATGATAGCTTCAGGTATATTGTTGTTGTTAAGTGCCGTCAAGTGGGTTCCAACCCATAGTGACCCTGTATAGGGTTTCTGAGAAGCAGTTTATGAGCTTGAACCACAACCCTGTGGTTCAAATGGCTTTTCAGTCCAGTATATTAGCCCACAGCACCATACCAAATATATTAGTTCCTTGTTACGCATCACGCTCATTGAATTGGTATTTTTGATGATCTCCTTCTGTCTTGTGTAGTCACAGAATTTAAAAGAAAGTGGCCTGCTATAGATCGAGTTGGGTGTTTTTTTGTTTTTGTTTTTTTAATGATTGTGATTAGTTTAGAACCACAATGTAAAAATAAAATGTATACAACTCAAGAAGTATCATTGAGGTTCCTATATTTTACCCTCAGGAAGTGTTTGGTGTGTAAAGGCAGTTTCTTCCCCAAAATAGATTTATGTGGAAATGCATTCTTTTTCTTTTTTAAAAATAATTTAGTTTTTGATGATTTTCTAGCAAATCTATGTCATAAATTGATGAGATTACTTCATTCAGCTCCTTGTTATCTCTTCAGTCATCCATTTTACGTAGTATCGCCATCTTCCTAAAATGTTAGATTTAAAGCTTCTTTTGAGGCATCCATCTAATGCCTGCTACTGCTGTGTGCCTGTGGCTCTGACTCTTAGCAACTTGTATAGGTTTAAAGATGTAAATCTTTACATCTTTCTCCCCTGGAACAATTGGTGGATTCAAACTGCTGACTTTGAGGTTTGCAGCCCAACGTATAACCCATGAGGCTACTAGGGCTCCTTATCTAATACCTGAATCAAGTGAAAACGAACTGATAAAAACTATGCATAAGGGAAATGACCATCTGTCCTACCAGCTTAATGCCTCTGCAAGTGATGGTTGGCATAAAATTATCATGTGAATATAATACCCTTCAATTTTGTTTTATTGTATTCAAGCCTGTTATTAACACCAACAAGATTTATAAAACAGTTCTGGTGTAGTGCTGTAGGATAAGCACTGGACTGCTAACAGTTCAAACTCACCAGCTGCTCTTTGGAAACACTATACAGGGGTTCCATGAGTTGGAACCGATTCAGTGGCACTTAACAACAACAACAGCTACTTAATTTGTCTGAAGGGTCCCTGGGTGGTGCAAATGGCAAATGCACTTGGCTGTGAGCCAAAAAGCTGAAGGTTCGAGTCCACCCCAAGGGGCCTCAGAATCTGATTCCATAAAACCAGCCTCTGAAAAGCCTGTGGAGCACAGTTCTGTGACACATGCAGGGTCAGCATGAGTTGGAGTCTACTTGGAGGCAGGTGGTAAACTTCGCCGGAGAAGAAGGTGGAATAGAAAGTGTGGTGGTGATGATGGTAGATGATAACCTTCCAGCATTCTTGGAAACTTCACAATTGGATGAAATGTTTCTAACAGGTTATAATTCTCCTTTCACTCTTGTTCATCACTGCTTTGCCATCCTCCCTCCCATGTGAAAAACAAAAACCCTGCCTATTTGCTGGTGTCTTCTGTCTAATGACGTGAGTCTAATCTTTTTCCTCTCCAGTTTTGACCCCCTGGATGCCTCTAGCATGACATACGGCTGGCCCCATGGCCTCTTCATCTGCCTTCTCACTTTGGTCTTAGGTAGCCATTTTGTGTTCTGTCTCCCTGATGTGCATTGTAAGATTTTTCTAGCCCTCTCTCTTTTTATCATATCCTATGCAGTCTTAAAGAAGTTCTGGTAATGTAGTTTCAAGGTCAGCAGTTCAAAACTACCAGCTGTTCCGTGGGAGAAAGATGAGACTTTCTGCTCCCATAAAGATTTACCGCCTCAGAAACCCTGTACAGGGTTGCTATGAGTCGAAACCGACTCTGCAGCACATAACTACCACCACCACCACCACATAGGAGAAAGATGAGGCTGACAACCTGGGAAACCCTACTCAGGGTTGCTATGAGTTGGAATTGACATAATGGCAGTGAGTTTTTGGTGCTGTCTTATGAAATGACCAGCTTTTGTATAACAATCAGATCCACGCTAGAGAAAGCATCTCATTGGTGGGGCTGCAGACGGTCACCCAAGTGTCCTGTGGGCCCCGGTGTGATACAGAACTGACCGATCATGTCTCTCTTCCTCTCACAGAGCCATTCAGCGCCTCCGTCTGGGTGATGATGTTTGTCATGCTGCTCATTGTCTCTGCCATTGCCGTGTTTGTCTTCGAATACTTCAGCCCTGTTGGATACAACAGAAACCTCGCCAAAGGGAAAGGTGAGGAAGCCTACATGAGCGTGGTCCAATTCGGTGCTAGCTAACTTACCTTCACTGAAGATTTCCCGGTTAGAATGCATTGCCCTATACCGCCTTGGTAGGTTATTATGTGGACAACACTGAGTCATTGACATTACTTACGATGCCCTACACATATGGGTTACCCACATCAGAATGACTAAAACATAATGAAACATTTCCTATTTTTTAATAGTGTGCACTCAATAGTAAGTGAAAACCACTGGTATTTAATTTGTTGGAGAAGCAGGGTGTTTTAGGGGGAGGTTAGGACAAGTAATTTTAAGAGTGTATCGAAAAAATGTTAAAGTTTCAGTGAGCTACAACTTCAGCACACTCAGAGAAAACTGTTACGTGGGTTCCAGTTTAAGAACATTTTTCAAGCGATTGAGTCACATTTGAATTCATTTGACAATAAATTTAATCATATAGTGGTATTCCCCCCCACCCCAAAGAGTTATTTTTTTTTCTTCTTGGCAATGTCTGACCTGAGTGCATTGTACTTGATCATCAAGTGGCATTCAGCAGGAAGAAAATTGAACTGGGAGACTTTCATCAGCAATAATTCATTAAGAGGCTCCCACGCAAGTCAGTGCTCTCGTTGTATATGTAAACACATTGCATCATTTGGAGTGCATTTCCCCCATACACAGTACACTCCAAGTGGATGGTTTCAGAATGAGACCAGGATGGAATCTCTACCCTGACAAATGGCTGGATGAGTCAGAGAACAGGAGATCTTCATGGTACAGATCATTCAACAGCAGGGCACTTCCATTGGCCACATATTCTTCTCGCTCAGAGTGTTCAATATTGGAAACAGCCACTCGTTTTATTGAACTACTCCCACTCCTTCACCATTGAAGAATGATGATCACTATTTCAGCCTTCTCCGATGAGCCTTTTTTTTGTAACACTGCCATAAATAATCACATCATGATGAAATGGGAAATTGTCAGCCTTCTTTGAAAAGGGTATGTAGCCAACCATTGTGAAGCTTCCCAACAGTGGGGATTCTGTGAGTATCTTACTGCCACAGGCCCAGTCTTCACATGGGCAGAACCAGAGTTTGGGCTGCTTGGGAATCCACTCATTTACTTAACAAACATTCATTGTGTGTGTCCTGTGTTCTGGGATAATGTGGTGAGTTGAATCGAGATGCTGACCTTCAAGTGGAGAAAACTCACCTGAAACACATAAGTTGATGATCACAGATTACTGATCTGAACCTGAGACAGTCCAAGTAGAAAAGGTCAGAGTGAAAGGATGATGATGACCTGATGGGGACCCTATTTTAGATAGATGGTCAGACAGACCATGGTCAGAGACATTGGAGCTGAGACCTCAAGGGTGAGAAGGATTCAGTCCAGTCATGTGAAAATCTGAGAGGAAAGTGACTGAGGGAGGAACAAATTTAATGTGTTCAAGAAGCAAAAGATCATAGCGAATGGGGTGGGCAGTGGTGTAAGATGAAGTTGGAGAGGTATATAGTAGACCATAATAAGCATTTCAGATTTTCTTCCAAATGGCCCCCAAAAATGAATGGAAAAAGAAAATATTGTACATCCATACAATGAGCTATGGGTGTACTACACTCGGAAACTGTGGTACACACCATACAGTGAGCTATCACCCAGAAACGGTGGTACACCCATACAGTGAGCTATGACTCAGAAAATATGATATACCCATACAATGAGTTATTATTCAGAAAATGTGGTACACTTATACAATGAGCTATGACTCAGACACAAAGAGAAACAAACTCCTGACATGGACAAACACTGAAAACATTAGAAAAGAAGGAAGGATGGATCGAGCCTTCCTTCCATCTATCCAGCCACCCACCCATCCTTCCTTCCTTCCATCCATCCATCCATCTCTACCATCTTTCCTCCCTACCTCCCATTCTCTATTCTTACTTCTCTTTTTCCTTCCCTCCCTTCCTGTGTCCCTTCCTTAATGTGAAATTATATACAATACAACAGTCATCACTTCAACGACTTGTACATGTGCAGTTCACTGGCCTTGGTCACCTCTTTGACTCACACCACCTTTCTCAACAAGCTTTTCCAAACTCTTTCATCATCATGAACACAAACTCACTGACCTCTCCCTAGCTTCTCATCTAGTCTTTCGAGTTGTCAGTCACATACAGATAATTCTTTAAAAGCATCTAATGCTTAATGTAGATATTCTTTTCTAATTAAGCTAAGTTATTATTTGGTTCAAAGATGACTTCAGGGGATTATTTTATTTCTAGGTTTAATGATTCCCTCAGAGTAATAGTTTTGGGGAATCAACCAGCTTCAGTGGTCCCAGAGCATCTTGAGTCCATGAGAATTTCAAATTCAGTTTAGCACTTCCCCGTTTTTAATCAGGATTCTTTCTTTTTAGAATCTTTGATCTACATATTTGGTGTTGATAACCAGGCAAACCTTCTAGTTCTTCTGGCATCATGGAAAATTAAGCAGTTGTTTGTCGAGGAAACTGGACACATATTCCATTTGAGATGAATGGTTATATTTAAGACATACCTTGGAGGATAAATATAGATTCATAGTTCATCGTGTGCAATATAGGCAGACCCTGGGTTATGAGTATCAGACTTACGGATAACTCCTACTTGCCCTTTAATGCTATGTAAGTTTGCCCTCACTTTGAAAGGAAGGCAAATCCCTGCTGACTACAATTTCTTCATCACAATCCCCTTAATTTGCTCCATGTCCAGCTTTTAAATTATTGAAAAGACTTCACAACTTTGCTTGAACTCAGATAAGGCTAATTAAGAACCAGAGGCATCTGGTCTGACTTACCTACAAATTTTTAAAGAGACACTTAGGAGCAGATCTCATTCATAACCCAGAGAGACTGCCCATGGTTCCTTGCTTGCTTGCAGCCTGTGTTAGAAGACTAGCTAAGACAAGACCATAGCACACCGACTCCCCACTCCGCCTGTCTCATGATGGCTTCCTGTTTTCCGCACGTGTGTGCCTAACAATGCTAAGAAAATGACAGCCCTTTGCTTCCTGATACAAAATGGTTTCAGTTACATTTCACTGCACTTTATGGGGGAAATAGTCTGGCCTAGTAATAGTGTTCATGAATCAGGAATTCCCAAAGGTCTTGAATAGACCCCTGGCGACAGCCTACTTCTGATTCCCAAATAGCTGTCACTATTGATCAGCATGAATCTCTCATAAAATTAAGTGGATGATGGAATGAAATGGACAGAACTCTAAATGATTTGCTGCTAAGAATGCCCAGCCTCTTGGGAATCAGTCCTGACTATCATAAAACTAGACAAGGAGAAACGGGAGAGGCTGGGCTTGAAACTAATAGAACTAATGGCTGTCTCTTTAATATGCTGCAGATGGATTTGTTATATCTTGCTGGGGCCTCGTCTGGCCTCCAGTTGTGCAGCAAGCTTGCTTTAACTAGGCTTCCTGCCCAGGGCTTCAGCAACCCCATCCATCTGAACTCACTTCTGCCGCTTTATTTATTGCCCACTCAGCTTGTAACACCAGCCGAAGTTTCAGTAGATCATTTTTCCTATCTTCATTTATTTAAGTGACAGAAAAATTAACTTTCTGTGAAAGGTTAGTTGTTTTGTTTTATGACGTAAAAGCGATGAACTGTGCCTTCTACAGGCCGCATACACCACCTTCCCAAGACGTTTCTGCAGGTAGTTCGGTCCCTTTCCTTAAGTCTGTTGCAAGGAGCGTCACTGAATATTAACAGACCTCGTGGCTGTTGCAAGATGGAACGCTGTGATCTCGGCATTCATGCTCCGTTTCTCCGCAACCCTGAATTCAGATATCTCCCATCTGTGAAGCGGTGGAAAAATTAAGCACTATTGTTCCGTTCCTTAATGTCTCCATTTGGAGAAGGTTTTCAATGGTTTTAATTCTTATATTGTGCACACGTTACGTCTGAGATTGAATAAAAGCAATTGCATTCTAATAAAACCCTCATCCCTGCTGAATCATGGGGTTCTAAGATGGGCAGTGCATCCCATAAATAATGAAGAAGCCCTCTCCCACACCTTTTAAATCCTCCTGTTATGTGTATTAAGGAGATTGGTGGCCCCAAGTGGAAAGCCACTCCAAATTTAAAACCAGCCAAAACACTAGGCACATTTTACATCTTCATTTTCTTTCCTGTCTTTTTAAAGAAACTTGGCACCAAAAGAAAACTCCAGCTCGATTGAAATGCGAGGAGAAAGCTCGTATTTGAAGGGAGGAGAAGTTATTGAGGCTGTGGTTATAGGGAGGCAATGGGGCCTGGCGTAGCTGGTGGTGGTCACAGACCAGCAATAGGCACAAACTTCACTGTGGCTGGTAGCCGCTGATCAGGTCTGATATGTCATGTTTGTTTGGAGAAAGCACTGAGCAATTCCTCTCTCTCCTTTGCAGCACCCCATGGGCCTTCTTTTACAATCGGAAAAGCTATCTGGCTCCTTTGGGGGCTGGTGTTTAACAACTCCGTGCCTGTCCAAAACCCTAAAGGAACCACCAGCAAAATCATGGTGTCTGTCTGGGCCTTCTTTGCTGTTATTTTCCTGGCCAGTTACACGGCCAACCTGGCTGCTTTCATGATCCAGGAGGAATTTGTGGACCAAGTGACTGGCCTCAGTGACAAGAAGGTAAGTTCTTGGTGCTTCCAAATCTCAGCTGCTCTCCCCTCAGTCGGGGTCCAGGAACTCAGACTGTTCTGTAAGGTCGAGGGTCAGCTAAAATGAGGGAAACACTCCCTGAGATGGACTGACACAGTGACCGCACGGTGGACCAGCAGATGACCACACAGATGACACAGAATAACTGAACACCGCTACCTTCCTGGTACGCACCAGGTCATCATGACTTGCAGCCAGCTCATCGACAGTGAATAACAACCTGGCTCAGAATTGTAAACTTTAAGGCACATGAGTTTTCCTTCGCTCTGACTCTGTCACATTTCCGAGAAGCTTCAGAACCCTAAGCTTATCTCCTCCTTGAGGTTGTGGCCTCATTTGAAACCGTGTTTTCCCAACTGGTCATTTTTTATACTTATACAGTCTTCCTGGTAATGCTTACTGAAAGTCTGTGATTCAAGGGCACTTCTGGAAGTCAAGACTGGAATTCACCCTTTCAAGGAGGGTGTGGTGTTTGGAGCATCCACTAGCTGGGGCAAGAAGGAATTTGGGCTGATGCAGACTCCTATGGCCTGTGAAATGAGGCAGTTCTCTAAGTACCCCATTCCCTGGGTCCCTTACACGTGGCATGCAAAAGGTCATCCCTAAACTTCACCTAGACTTGTCTCCTTCCATGAAGCAATTCCAGTGTCAGATACCCCAGTAGGCAAGACAAGCACGGGCTTACTGGTGCTTATGTCCTAATCTGTAGTGAACAGTTTCATAGTTCATATATTTCCACCATATCAAAGATTCGGCTTCTAGATCCGACTGGCATCTGTCTCTCTCCCAACTCCTAAACACCTTCCCACAGAGTCAAAGACTTTTCCAAGTTCCTGACAGGGGCGAAAGCTGGGACGAATGCCGTCAACACAGGCTGGCATCTGTGGCGAAAAACATGTGAAACTGTACACTACAGATTAGCAAGTAAGCACAAGGAAGCCCATGCTTTCCTTAGTTATTGAGTAATCTGCCACTTGGGTTGGATTCCCATTCATTGCTCCTCATCGTCAGCCACCGCACCCGTCTGTCAGTGGAGGCTCGCATGTTGCTAGGAGACTCTAAACTAAGACAGAATAGGAAGAAAGGCCTGGTGATCTCCTGCTAAAATCAGCTCAGGAAAAAACTATGGATCGTGAAGGTCTAATCTTCAAGTCGTCATGAAGCTAGCACATGGGGTCACCAAGAATTGAAGGCTCACCCAGAGACACAATATTCGGACAGCCCGTGTTTACTGTGTAACCAGGGTATTTTCAGCTCACCCAGATTTCTTCCAGAGACACACAAGGAACAGGGAGACGTTTCCCCCATGGCTTCCTTCCACATGGACACATCACCCACCCTCCCTTTGGGGGCTGAAATGGAATTGAGAACTGAAACCTCCCGGGCTGAGGGACTCAGGCGGCTGTTCAGAAATGCACAGGAAATAGCTCCCAGTGTGCCAAGCTCAGCAGTGTTGGGTTTGCACCACAACAGCACGCTCGTGAAGTGGTGTGGATCTTGGCAACGTTTTGGTCTGTTGCGCTTGGGCTCACCATGAGTCAGAACCCACTCAATGGTAACTAACAAAAAACAACCGTCACCTTACTGTGTCTCTTATTCTCCTCTGTAAACTTGGGAGGCAGTGTTGTGGAATGCAATGAGCCTGCGGATGTGCATTGTAAGCTATCGAACCTCTACAAACACAAAGTACTGTTGTGTCTCCATCTCCTCATGGTCTGCAAAAGAACAAAGTGACTCCTAGAAGGTAGCACTTTGGAGACGCAATTCAAACCAATGTGTCTTGGAAGAGAGGATTTCTCAGGAAAGAATTTGGCAACGTAGTTTTCGTTCTTCAAAGCCTAGGGAGAGGGGGAGGGAAATAAGCCATGCTCTGTAGTTTCAGTCTAAATACCATGACCACTTGTAAGAAAATTAATTAGAACCACTAATAATTTGACTGACCTTCTTAAACTGGGAAACACCTAGTGACAGATTCCATATTCCTGAGAGACACGAATCTGTTTCCCTGCTCAGTGCATTAGAGGCAAGAGGAGAGCGCTCTTTTAATTGAATGTTTGATGAAATTAAATAAACAGCGCAAGTCTTGGAGTAAATAAGCTAAACGCTTCTAGAACATTAATAGCAGGTACGCCAAGAAAGTCTGCAAAATAAAAATCTATATTGAATCCATTTATTTTAATACTGCACATAAATGGTTTTTGTTTTTCTGTTTTATTTTGTCTTTTCATACAGATCCATGTAACAAGTCAGGTTTTCAATACTATTGAGCCATGTACAATGTTAGTGTGTGTTTCAAAGAGGTATCTTTGGAATAACCCCTGGTGTGCCCAGGTGAGATGGGGCAGATATTAAAAACAGGTGAATTTATGGGTAAATGCTTCTCCAGGAATTATTAAATAAAGTTGGGATATCCATGGAGACCCTTTCTAGTATGTTGGGGGCACTAAGGTGTATTCAGAGAGCATTCCATCTCTGACAGACAAATTTAGATAGTAGGAAGACTGTCGATATCTTTGGGGTCAGATGGTTCAAATTCTGGCCCTGACACTGAATGGCTGTGTGCCCTTGAGTATGTGAATAACCCTAAGGCTTAGTTCTCTAAAACCAATGCCAGTTGCTGTCAACTACAACTTATGGTGACCCCATTTGCTCCGAGTTTTCTAAGGCTAGTTTTCAGAAGTAGATCCCCAGGCCTTTCTTTGGAGGCACCTCGAGGCCGACTTGAACCGCCAACCTTTCATTTAGCAGTCTAGCACATTAAGTGTTGACCAAGTCTCCTAAATGTCCTCAGACAAGGAGGGATATGAAGATCCAAAACAGTCCTCACTTAGTGACTGGTTCCTCATTTAGTGTCTGGTACCTGGCCGCGTCTTTCTTAGTTGTTTGTGAAGGTGATTCTAACTCATGGAGACGTGTGTGCAGGGTAGATCTGTACTCCATAGGATGTTCAAGACTTTCCTGAAGCAGATTGCCAGGACTGTCTTCCTAGGAGGGAGACTCTGGGTGGGATCAAACTGCCAACCTTTCAGTCTGTAGTTGGGTACTTAACTGTTTGCTCCACCCAAGTGCCCACTGGTGCAAGGAAGACGATCCTCTCATTCTTCCTCCTGCCCTCCCCCTCTCCCTCTTCTTTCCTCTCTCCCCATCCACTTTTCTTCCTTCTCCTCCTCCTTTATCTCCTGCCTCTCTTCATCTACCCCCTGTTCTTCCTCATCAGCATTACCACCTGTTCCTACTCACACCTCACTTCTGGGATCTTGGGTGTCAGTGCACTGTGTTAGACTCTGGTGACTGGGCGCAATAATGAGGACTCTAATATTAGTCGTTAGTGATGAGAAGAAGCCAGCCCAGGAATGTGGCTGTGGGGCCCATACTGCCTATGGACAGGGTACCCAGGCTGCTTGGTGGTCCTAGTCTTAGTAGGGATGTCCCTAGAATTCTCTTCCCTCTGCTGGAGGCCACACCTGTGAGGTGGGCGCACCACAAAACCCAGGGAGCTCTCAAAGAGAAGTCCATTCTAGAAATAGGGGCTCCTGTTGAACTGTCTGAGGTTTACAAGACATAGGTAGTTTTTAGAAGGAACCCTAGTGATGTCCTGGGTTAAGTACAGAGCTGATAGCCACAAGATCAGTAGTTCAAACCCAACAGTTGCTCCATGGGAGAAAGATGAAGTGGGCTGTCTGCTCCCATAAAGATGTGTTGTTGTTGTTGTTATGTGCTGTGGAGTCGGTTCCGACTCATAGCTACCCTGTACAGGGTTTCTGAGGCTGTAAATCTGTATAGGAGTAGAAAGCCTCATCTTTCTCCCGCAGAACAGCTGGTAGTTTCTAACTGCTGACCATGAGATTAGCAGCCCGATTCGTAACCACTACACTACCAGAACTCTTCCCATAAAGATTTACAGCCTTGTAAATCCTAGAAAGAAGTTCTATGGGTTTGCTATGGGTCGGTGAAAACTTGATGGCAGTGGGCTTGCAACTGTGGGCTGGTAACATGAATGAAGACATTGTCTGGTTATGAAGACATTGTGTGGTCAAAGTCTATTTCATGCTCCTGCATCTCGGCCTCCTCCATCATGAAATGCTTGCCGTATTTTCTTGAGATCCATCCCCATTTGAGTGAGAAATCAGAGGTAGACTATAACTCCTCTGTTCTCTAAACTGGAGGCAGCCTAGCTCTGTGACTTGACTGTAGGCACCAAGCCCTGGTCAAAACAGATGTTGTGTATCAAGCATTAAAAGACACCAGGTGTCCCAGTGAGCATTTCACATCTGTTTATTGGATCAAATGCAAAAGCAACCCTCAATCCACTGATGGAGAAATGGCACCTCAGAGCTTTAAATGGCTGCCCGCCGCGGCGGCTCAGATCATGAGTGGCAGATGAGAAGCTGAACCCGACTTTCCGGAGCCTAGGTCAGGGAAAGCCAGTCACCCTTAGCAGTGAGAGCAAACTAGAGAGGAAGCTGCAGACTGAGTCTTGAGATTGTACCACTCTGCAGTCTTCAGCCTCAATCTTCAGCACTCCCCTTCCTCCACATCCGTTTCTCTCTGCTTGCCTCAAACAGGACATGTGTAGCGGGTGTGTTCGATGCTGGGTACTGGGACTTCAGATAAGCCATCCTTCCCTATATCTGGTTTTCCCTCTCTGGAATGAGATTCTGTTGTTGTTGTTGTTGTTGTTGTTGTTAAGTGCCATCAAGTCACTTCCCTGTATAGGATTTCCAAGGAGTGGCTAGTGGGTTTGAACTGCATTCCTGTGCTTATCCTACAGTGCCACATGAGAGTCTTTAGTAGGGCGTAAGCTGAATTTAAGGGTTGTGTTCATTCAAAATGATGGAACACAATAGATAATATCAAAGTCTCTCTTTTATGGAGCCCTGGGGAAGTGTGGATGATTAATGTGCTTGGCTATTATCTGATAAGTTGGTTCACCCCAGAGGTGCCTTGAAAGAAAGGCCTGGTAATCTACT